GGTGGGGTTGCGTTGCGGATGTGACCTCTCTTGGCTTCCTGTTTCTGTATTTTGTTTCGTCATCCTTGCGGCAAAAAAGCTGATGCTGATTCTCTTGACATCTGATGTTGGGCAACTTGAGCGCTGAATCTGGTCGTCTTTTGTTGCTGCTTTGGCCATGGCGGAAGGTCCAACATGCTTGCAGTGATGATGGCGGAACAGGAGCGTGCGAAGGAGAGGGTCAATCGGAAGGACTACTGGCTGAGCGAAGGCTTGATAGTGAAGGTCATGAGCAAAGCGCTCAAGGAAAAGGGGTATTACAAAATGAAGGGTGTGGTGGAGAAGGTGGTGGGCAAATATGTTGGGGAGATTAAAATGCTGGATGGCGGCGATGTGTTGCGGGTCGACCAGGCGGAGCTTGAGACGGTGTTGCCCCAGATCGGCGGTCGGGTGCGCGTAGTGAATGGGGCTTATCGCGGAGAGCACGCAATTTTGCTAGGCATAGAACCGGAGAAATTCTGCGCCAAAGTCAGGATCGAAAAAGGTCGTTTTGATGGCCGCGTTCTACCTGCCGTTGAGTACGAGGACATCTGCAAAGTAGCCGTCTCTGGCCGTTGATTATGCGTTGACATCAACGACGGCAAATCGGTCAGCAGTGCAGAGGGCGCTCGGTCATGGAAACTCGGAGTAAGGTCTCGTCGAGCTGAGAGGAGGAGGAGGAGATGCTGTTATGCCACACAAGTCGATCAAGGTAGGTGAGTGGTTCGTTCCCCCGATGGCTCATGACATGACAATGGGCCTTGCTCCACTACACAACATCCTGCATGTATTCTTGACTCCGACGTAGACCAGATACATTCGAACTGATCCAAAATTTTCAATGCATTGAGACCATTTCAACCTCCAGATGCATCTAAGATGTTAGTAGGTAAGTGTGGTTCGTTCCCACGTGTCCTCGTCGCAAGACAATGGGCCTCGCTCCGCTAAGCAACATCCTACATGTATCTCGACTCTCGACTCCTTTATAGACCAGATACATTCAAACTGATTAAAAAAAAAAACAATCAATGTATCCGGACCATTTCACGGACCATTTCTACCTCCAGGTACATTTAAGATTTTATGCAGTGGAGCAAGCCCCGGTCTGTACGCTAAGGAAGAGTGGTTGCGTACGGTACCGATGTCAGCGAAATATGTTTTTCCAAATGGTCACCCATGCTTCACATGCGATTGCCATTCACATTTGATCCAGCCGTCTTCACCCGAATAGAACACCCCCAGTCATTGTACCTGTATTTGGAGACTGGGGGTGTTCTATTCGGGTGCAACTTCCAGTGTACCGTAGTACACATGCTGAATAAAGGAGAGCACACATGGAACCAAATGTGTCCTTGGCCTGGAAAAATGGCCGTGGGCCTCCAGGTCGCCCAGGTCGCTCACCAAAAATGGGTGCACGGCCTGGGGGCCTGGAATAACCGCCCGCCGGGGCCCAAAACAGGGCCCATGTAGCGGCCTCAGCATGCTCCAAGATGGTTGCTCGACGCGGGCTTGAAAGAGAATACTCCGCTTACGCACTTGGCACTGTCCCGCCGTGCATGCAAGAAAGGTAACCTGTTGCTGTTGGGCACCCGCATGCTGTCATATCGAAGAAATCTGCACCTGTCAGAGGCTTTGTAATAGTTTGTATCAATAGATTCAATACTCTCCAGCGGGATGGAAGAAGTCTCCGAGCACCTCTCAGACGCTTCGCAATGGGTATGGTTCATCGATTCGCTTTATGCTTGCATCATTGGTTGCTCTTGCTTAATTGATGTTGTTTGAAGTTTGAACGTGTTTCTTTTTTTTTTCTTTTTTTGTGCACATGTGAGAGAGGGAAAGGGAGCGAGAGAGTGGAGAGAGAGAGAGAGAGAGAGAGAGAGAGAGAGAGAGAGAGAGAGAGAGAGAGAGAGAGAGAGAGAGAGAGAGAGAGAGAGAGTGGTGGACGTGGGCAGTCAGGGACTCGAGAGAACTTTGTCTGGTTGGATTGCAATGATAGAGCTTTCTGTTGCTGAATGAGGAAAAGAGCTCCCAGCATGAAGAATCGCCCGTAGCCCCCCTGAAGACAACAGGCTCTTATGAGTTTTTTTTTTTTCTTTTTTTTTTTTGTAAACCACCACTACCTTTCTCATATGTGGGGCCGCGGGCCTCAAATTCAAATCCGGCCGCCACGCGCCGTCGATGAAAAATATCGATGGCGGCGTGGCAGCTATTTTTCAGGAGTAGGCTACTAGATGCCCGCGGCCGACATATGGGACCACGGATCAGATATTAAACTGATCAGAACAGATACTACACTTGATCTTAGCCAAAAGGCCGAGAAAGGTATTCCATTCTAAAAGCACTTGTTGTCAGTTGTTGAGCCTTTTTTTGCCCTTGTTCACTTTTTGTTTGTCGGTCTTTTGTGTCCTAACAGTTGCTGCCTTCTCTGTTTGTTCTTTGCTCTGCAGATGGTGGATAGGCATCTACAATCGCGCGGTTCCCTATATCCTTCTTCTCAGATTCAAATAACCCACCCATCTCTATCTCCACCTCCTCTCTGTCAAACCTGTCTGATATATAAACGGTTCTCATCATCATTCCGATTGCCGTTCTCTCTTATTGTCATAAGTGCAACCCATACTCTGTTTCTCAGATGCTAGTGGTGTCTGCTCTTACCAGCACCACTAGCACTGGAAGGGAGTAAAAAAAAAAAAAAAAAAAAAAAAAACCACCATACTCTGTTTGAATAGCGACGAATGTCTCTCTCTCTCTCTCGCTCGCTCGCTCGCTCGAACGTGGCGATGGACTCTCTCTCTCTCTCTCTCTCTCTCTCTCTCTCTCTCTCTCTCTCTCTCTCTCTCTCTCTCAATAAATGATTCCTGCCATAACGCTTCCACTGCATCGTTTTCTGTTGCCCCTTCTTCGTTGATTGGTTGTCTGCTGCTCGGTGAAGTTCGCCACTGCATCAGGGTCGCAACGAAATTCCGACTGAAATGCGTCGGAGTGTGCTGATGCCCAAACCTGGCTGCAATAACGGCTTGAAGCTGCAAAACAGATGAATGAACATGTTGTCAAGATGCCACTTGGTAGGTGAACAGACCGAGCAGGCCGAGCTGCCAAAGCCCCACCACTCTCGGAGGGGCCAGCATGTGAAGCTGATAGCGTTATCTCGCCCGGCCACTAGCGTCCAAAACCCCGCAACATCATTTTCTCCTGTCGCCACTTGTCACGACAATCTCCTAGGAGTGGAGGACCATTCCCACCCTTCAATCGCTTCCCAATCGGGCAAGCTAAGAGTTCCCAAAGCCCACCTTCTGGGAAGCTCAAGTTCCATGGGAAGTTCGCCAATACACGGCGATCTTCGATTCAGAACGTTCAAAGCATCTGTTAGTTTCCGTGTGAAGTATCCACGGCTCCTCTTCCCCGTACACCTCCACCTGACTCGCCTCTTCCCAAAGGACAAGCTCTCGTCACAAGTGCTCAAGCTCACATATGAAGCCCGACAGCCTCATGAGTCATGACCCACATTTCCCGTGCTAAGCGCCCCGGGACATGGCGGATGAACTCCGCGCAGAAGATGACAAACCCTAACGCACGCGCGTCGCGAGGTTAGAGCGCTAAGGCGCCGTAGTGCTTTGGCCCTTATGGTTTGGGCGGGAAACCATTTTGCGTTGAGAAAACTACCCTACGGCATACATTTCTCAACTGCAGTGCCTTTCCTTTTTTTTGTTTTTTTTAGACATCATTACATCCTGAAACGGAGGAACTTTGACAGCTGTGTTTGGCTCTCTGGCTTCAAACTCCTTTCCTTCTTTGGGCAATGAATGCATTTGGCCATCCACGTTGTCCCTATCCATTTTACAAATGGTGAGTCCCCTCACCACGGGGAGTATCCCTTTTTCACGGAGACATTCAGGGTCAGATCCCACTACCTTGGATTATTCATTTTTCACCCTCAATTACGAAGATCAACGGTCAGAAATGAACAATAGGGACTAGTGGGATCTGGCCCTCATTCCTACTGTTCCAGACATGTTTCATTTCTCCGCATTACGTTATCAAAAATAAGGAGAAAAGCTATTTCTCACGTTTTTTTTCAGTTTTTAATTTCTTGTTTCTGACGTTTTTTTTTCAGTTTTTAATTTCTTGTTTCGAATTTATTGATGTCGAAATGGCATCACACCGTTGAGTTTTCTAAACTCAACAAGGGTAGGTGGGACCAGACCCCTGGACCCGGTTTCCAGCAAGGGCCACCTCTGGGTTGTTCGTTGAGGATTCCCAGCCTCAATTATCATTTGAAATATAAAGCGTAATTCTTCCCAAAAAGAAAAAAGAAAAAAAAGAAAAGCAGTTCAATCTGGATTTTCTGCACCTTTCCACGAACATGTCCAGATTCAGCCGTTCAATCCAATCCTCTTTGCTAGTGGGACCTCGCCCCGGGGGGTTCACTGTGCAGGTGCCTACTCTGAGGTTTTTCTATATACTTCGGGGCTCGTTCGACACTCCTCGGGCACGTAAAATCCATGAGGAAATCATCGTTCCACTTATCCTCGGGGAAGAAAAAAAAAAAAAAAAGTGAAAACATTTCCTCGGGGATTCCTCGGGCTACAGCCATTTCGACGCATTCCCCAAGGGACCTCCCCAAGTCCCTTGGAGGTCGAGCATCCGGAAGAATCGAGGCGTCGACGGCAGCTCTCTCGACGACATTTTTTGACGTGGCTGGTCCATTGCTGTTCCTGGTGGCCCGTGGACGGACATCTCCGGTTGGCAACGGTCGGTGTCATGGAATACTCCGCCAACGGTCCCCTTTGGCGGCCTGCCGTCCTCCGCGACGTCGAAAAGGAGCTGCCTTGCGTCGCTGCCATTCGGCAATAGCGGGAAAGCGCCCAACAGTCGGCAAATTCGAATACTTCAGCCCGCCCCCGCTCTCCCGATTGCGTCGTGTCTTGCGCGACGGAATACGTTACCCTGCTTTTGTGGGTAGCTGCCATCAGCCGGTGGTCATGGTGGTGGACGTTTCCGTGACGGTGATCATCACCGTCCCGGATCGGTTGTCGTAGGGGTTTTGCATCAAGCTTTCGTTTTCTTTAAATGTTCATTCTTTTTCATGGCAAATCGATGTTCGCATCTGTGAAAACGAACATGTAATTGTGTTGATTTATACTGTTGACGTCTACGTCGTGTTGTCGCTTCCTGTTTTGTTCCACTTTCATTTGCATTCACGACAATTACGGTAAGGGGGACGTAATGGGGTCGAGGATGCTTGCTTGAACCGATGGTTGATGACACAGTGAGGGATGTTCACACACGGCATTGCACATGTTGGACGCAGAGATGGCAGTACAAATAACACACAACAACGTCGTGCAATTGTGTACTTTTCATTCGTCCACAAAGACGAAGACAAGCCACGCAACATTAATAATTTACACGATAAGTAAGAAACTAGATTGTTGTGTCTCGTACAAAGAAAACAGTGGATGAAGACACACTTTGCAAAAAATAAAGGCCTTGAAGGCAACTTCAATCCAAAGTTCCGGAAAACAGAACACACGATGAAGACTCGACTACGTCACCCAGACACGTCACCCGCGGTGACACCACACCACACGACAACTACGATCGGCACATGCACGCGCGCCACGTCGCCCCCGCCGACTGCGCGTTGGAAGGCGCCATCGCCATCAACCCCAGGCGCGGACACCCTCCTGAAGGGTGTGCAGTGCGAAACAAAACGGTAAGAAACTGCCGACACACGCCTCCCCATGCACGGCAGCCCACAGCGAAACAGGCACCGCTGCTTCAACTCGCCAATTCCGTTAAACGGCCCCGCACACACAACGACCCCAACTCAGACGATCACCCCTTCCAGGACAAGACGCCTCCCGCGTCATCTGCTCCGATTTCTCGCCTGTTGTCCGCGTCGCCCGCTACAATTTCTTGCCACAGCCATGTCATCGCAGCTGACCGCTCCGCACGCCTGACCATGTTCACTGCGCACCCATTCGCTCTGCTAGTGCGTCTCGTAGAATGAGCGCATCCCCTGTCGACGACTCCAAAGGATGCTCCATCCCAAGATTCACCCTTCGACGCACACCGTCCGGGCCGACCTCCCACAATAGATTGTCGTCGAAGGGGATGCCCGCGTTGATGAGTATGTTGTGCAGAATGCAGACGGCGACGAACTGCTGCGGCAACGTCTCCATGTTCGTTTTGTGGGAGCGAAGGAATAACCTCCACATCCCCTTCAGTCTGCTGAAAGCCCTCTCAACTGCTCCCCTCCCCGCCTTCTGCTTGTTGTCGAAGCGCAACTCCGACGGGGTTTGCGAGAGACTGCCGCAGGGGACGACTACCCATTCGGAGGGTGGATAATTGTTGTCCCCCAGCAGATAGTCGTCCGTCCGCACACCGAAAGGCAGCATGACAGGTGGCCCAGTGAAAATCTCCCTTGCCTCCGCGCGCGCCCATAAACTGGATAGGTGGACGATCCTCACGTCGTGGCAACTTCCCAGATAACCGACGAACACATCCAGCACGCGCAAGTTCAGATCGACAATGACCTGCGCTTTGTCTGAGAAACGCCGTTTTCTATCATAGTAGTCCCTGTCTCTTATACACATCTAGATGTGTATAAGAGACAGCTCTCTCTCTCTCTCTCTCTCTCTCTCTCTCTCTCTCTCTCTCTCTGTGCCAGTCAGCCTGCGGCCTGTTTATTCAACCTTTTCCCACCTTCGCTCTTATCATACATTTGCTATGCTATCCAGTATTCAGCAACCCTACAATAGTGAAAGTGAATACAAAAACGAAAACACAAGGTCTAGTCTAAACGATTCTATCGTGCTCCACGTGCTCTCTCTCTCCCTCCCTCCCTCTCTCTCTCTCTCTCTCTCTCTCTCTCTCTCTCTCTCTCTCTCTCTCTCTCTCTCTCTCTCTCTCTCT